CCCTTCGTATATTTTTCTCTATGTGGCCCTCTGTGAAAAATGTTCGGACACCCCTGATATAGAGAAAATGTATGTAGAAATATTGTGTCTGTTCCTTCACCAGGTGGTGGGGTTGGTGGTGGGCATGAGCGGGGTCTACCTGCTGATGAAGTACAAGCAGAGCAGCGTATTTCTCTCTCAAAGCTACTTCCCCCTGCCCGCTTTCCTCGCTCTTGCCAGCGCTGTGTTGATACTCGCCTGCGGGGGCCTCGGCTCCTGTCTGAGCATAGAGATCAGAGATTCCACCTTTCTGCAGGGACTGGTAGGTGTGTGTGTGTGTGTGTGTGTGTGTGTGTGTGTGTGTGTGTGTGTGTGTGTGTGTGTGTGTGTGTGTGTGTGTGAGAATGTGTGTGTGTGTGTGAATGTATGCATCGGTGTTCCAACTGTACCTAATAAAGTTTTTCTCCAGTTTGTTTATCTGCTAGTGTTGGTCTTTTGTCTGGAAAGTACGGCTTCAGCGTTGGCTTTCTTTCACACTACAAAGGTATAAAAGTTACACAATGTGCACTGAACAGCTGTTCTCTCATGACACTGCAGATAATTCTGGCTAAATTCATGTTTAAGTTTTCTTCTGTGTATTCTGTTGTTTTTGTTTAGCTGGAGTCAGAGTTAACTCCTCTCAGTGGAGTGTTTCATAACTACACCGGCCGTGACCCTGACTCTCAGGCTGTGGATGCTACACAAGCAGAGGTGTGTTCAGTCAAACTCATGTTAGCTGCTACATGTGAGCATCTAATACCCCAAGCATGTGTACAATGTGTAATATTGATGTATCACTCCACTGATCTACTTTTTAAATCATCCAAAGCAGAAGCTTGTATATTTATCGTACGAATAACAGCAATTTGGTAATGTGTTGTTATTTTTCATTAAAATTAATATTCCAGTTGGTCCTCATTTGCTCGATCTCAATTCCTTTCCAAAAACTGATCTATCACAAATGTTTTTTCCAAACTAAACACATCACAATAACTCCAGTTTAGAAGACCTATTTTGGAAGTGATGGGGTGTTTTGTTGACTGATTCCCATTAGTTGCAGTGCTGTGGAGTGCATGACTTCAGGGACTGGCTGGAAACCCCCTGGTTTAACAGCACCGGAGGACTCTTGGTTCCTCACAGCTGTTGTAACTCTACTTTCCTCTCCTGCAAAGGCGCTGTGGACCAACCGTGGCAGCTATACACACAGGTATTAACTCAGAAAACATCCGAAAAATCCAGCAGGAATGTCTGAACACTCTTTTCAAATGTGTATCTCTTTCAGGGCTGCCAGGTGAAGCTAGAGAAGAGTTTACAGTTTGTGCTGAGATTTATCATCTGGGGCTCCCCGATTGTTTTTTTCGTGGAGGTGAGGAAGACTGCATTACCTTTTTCCGCCTATTTATTGTGACTATGCTTGATATTGAATGCACCCTGATTGAAAAACATCACACAGCATTATGGTAAATGTACTTATAAAGCAGTCTTTTCGACCCCTCAAAGCGCTTTATATACTACGAGTCATTCACCCATTCGCACCTCATTCATGCACTTGCTTTAGGGAAGCTAACACTCACACACACTCACACACTCACACACTGTCGGTCACCAGGAGCAACTCAGGGTTCAGTATCTTGCCCAAGGATTCACCAACAACCTTCTGGTTCAAAGACGACCGCACTCCCTCACAGCCGCCAACAACATTAACATGCCTTATCCAGGGGTGTCAAACTCAAGGCCCGGGGGCCAAATCCGGCCCGCGACTTCATTTAATGTGGCCCGCAAGAGCTTTCAAAGAATATAATACTTTTATTATACGGTTACATGCCACTTTACAGAGGCATGTTGCCCATAAACTGCCTGTCCCACAATGCATCTCATTTTGTGACATGCGCACTGAAGAGACAATTATTTGCCCTGGACTTCTGCTTTCAGACTTAGTTAGTTATTACCCAATCCGATAATAACCCAATTCAGAGGCAATAATAGTAATATATAGTAAACATTATATTTATATATATATAATTATAATATTTAATATAGTTACAACCGGCCTTTGAGTGCAACCATAATGCTATATGTGGCCCGTCGATGAAATTGAGTTTGACACACACTGCCACTTATACAAGTTGCTTTGCGAGCATCATTACAGCATATAAACTACGAGCCCATGGCATACAACTAATGATTATTATTCACTATTCCCATGAACGTGACAAATATGTCTGGAATTGTGTCTCTGACAAATCGACATCACAGTTTTCATAGCC